TTCATGGCCGATCTCTGAAGAGAACTCGCATGAGTATTGTTTGGAGTGTTTGGGAGAAAAGCATGCTGCTCTCACGTTCCAGGGCGGCAGATCTGAGCACCGCGGTTCACTTCCTATCCACGTGCTTTGCATTAGGCTCGTTTTCTCTCACGAGGAACGAGTCGCTGCGCGCTCATTAAGCTCGCGCTTTGATCTGGCTGATGATTAAGAAGCAGGTGTTCCCCTCTCTCTCGTGTTCTCGCCAGATCGTAAGGTTCTCACACCCGCCTCCGAAGCAGGCACTTCTTCGGATCGGGCAGAGAACACTGCAGCTGTCGACTATTTCTTTGACTATCGTGGATTCAAAAGCACACGGATACATTATGATGCACTAGGCGAAAGAGATGCTAGCGGGCTATCTCTCCCCTAGAGGAGCATCATCGCTCTTAAAAAATATATAAAAAATAAAAGAGCCAACGCTCCCTACCAAGCCATGTGGAACAACATCTACACTTGGAGGGAAAGCGTTTCATGCAGTGGGTCAGACTGTTGCTGCCCTGCACACCATGGGGGTTCTGCAGGCATATCAGGCTGATCTTCTTAAAGATCTGAGCGCCGGGAGGAGGCTTCCAACAAGTTTCTCCCTCACTGTGCTCAAGTGTCAGGGCTGTCGGCCATTCAGTCCCGACCCGGTCCAGGTCCTCTGAGGCAAGAGGCTCAAAGAGTAAGTGTGGCGAGTTGTGCGCCCCTCGTAAAGACTGGGGAGAAGCTCTTAGCACTTAACAGCCAGAGATGAAGCCGGACATAAGGACGGTCATAACGACCAAAGAGAGGTCCTGAGGCTGTGTCCAGGACAAAGGCTGTGTCCCCTCGGAGAGGGCCACGGAAAATTCCAACAGAAGAGTAGGGGCTTCTTCCTGGCACCCTTAGGGGATCGCTGTACAACCTCCGCCACCACCGGTGTTTCGGGGAGCAGCGGTCTCCAGATAAATGTTACATGTTCGGTTGTGCCTGCCATGTTTCAGGACACCAAACATTTAACATTCCCCCCAGAAAAACGAAGTGTCACAATTAGTGTCCCTTTCAGAGAAGTTGGCAGTGTGCAAGCTACTGCCAAATAATCTCTTCTTGGGTTGTAAGGACTGTAGAAAGGGCTACAGGATACGGTTTGTGTATTGTCCTCCACGTTTCAACAGCGTGGTCTCCACTACCGTGAAACCGAAACAAGCATATTTGATGACACAGGAACTGCAAATTCTGCTGGACAAGGAGGTCGTAGAACATCTTCCCTCCCCAGACAGAGAGTCAGGCTGCTACAGCCAATATTTTCTGGTTCCCAGAAATGCCGGGGGGTTGCGTCCAATTTTAGATCCTCGTGGACTGAACCGCTTTCTAAATGCTGGCAATCAATGATTGTTCTTTCAGATCTAATCAGGGTATTGGTTGGTGAGAATTGACGCATACTTTCATCTAGAAATTTTGCCACAATGCAGGGAGTTCCTGTGGTTCACTTTCGTGGGCAAAGCTTACCAGTATTGTGTGCTTCCATCCGGCCAAGCCTTGTCACCCCGCACATAAACAAAATAAATGGATGCAGCATTTGCATCAGCGATTGGCTGATTTAGCCCAGTCAAAAGAGTTTGCGCTTCAACATTGGGACGCATGTTGTCACATGTTGTCCTTGCTCATCTAAAGTCTCTGGGGTTGAGACTCAATGCCAAGGAAAGCGTTTTCTTTTTTGCCCCTAGGGACAATGCATTTAGGGGTTGTATGGGATTCGATCGCAATGCGGGCACAGCTGTATCCTGCATATGTCGAATCCATTCTAAACACCCTGAAGTATTTCAGGCTAGGCCAGAAAGTTAATGTACATTACTTTCGGAAAGTGCTAGGTCTAGGTCTGCATCTATGGGAAACCTTTGGGCATCCTGCATCCTGGACATGAGACCATTGCGGTTGTGGCTCAGAGCCAGGGGATTTCATCTAAGGGCCAATCCCCAGAGGAGACCGTGCATCTGATCGTTGTTAAAGCCTTTTGCCCTCCGCCATTCATGACACTGGAGCAGGAAGGACTTCACTTATTGTGTCCAGGACATGCTCTTCAGATTTACATCCACCGCACTAGCCAGTGGCTTAAGTCAGAGCAGCTTTTCATATGCTATGCCATTGGGTGAGAGACGCTATTGCCCTAGCCTACGAGGCACACGGTCAAGCTTCACCTCTAGGAGTTAGGGCCCATTCAACCAGGTGGGTTGCATCCTATACTAAGGCTCTAACAAGAGTTGTCCCCTTGCAGCAAGCGTGAGGTGCGGCAGGCTGGTCCTCTCTGCACACATTTGTCAGCTTCGATAGTTTGGATGTCCATGCTACTCCGGGCTTGCATGTCCTTGAGTCAACATCCCAGAGTCATGTCTGAGACCTCTTCAATGTTTGTAAACACAGACTACACAACCTTGGGGGGTCCAGACACTTCCAGTGCGGCGGCGTTGGTATTCTCATTCCAATTAGCGTTACTGAAATGCAGCATCGAGAGTAGCTTTTGATAGGGAATGTCTCGGGTTACTTGACTGTAACCCTGTTCCCTGAAAAAGTGGGAACGAGATGCTGCGCCTCAATGCCGCACTGTAGGCGTGCCTGGACATCTCTTCAGACAAAGGTGTAACCTGAAGATGTGTCTGTTTCACGTCTATTTATAACCCTCAGGTGCACGTAATCAAATGACGTCACCTGCCAAGGTTATTTAAGCCAATTCTTGGCGTGTTTGACACACATGCTTCACAACCAGTTGAACAAAGAATGTTCTCATTAGCGTTATTGAAACACAGCATCTCGTTCCCGCTTTTTCAGGGAACAGGGTTACAGTCAAGTAACCCGAGACAGACTTGTTATTGTGAGGGACGTGCTTATTTACATGTGTATGTGGTGTTGTGGGTTGTATATTGGCAAGTCTGTTATCCAGACCAGTATGAGCTCTGCCAAGCACAAGGTTATAAAATATTTAAGTTAGGTTTCAATGGGTGTGCCTTTATTTCCGTCTGTCAGTATGCCTTTTGGGATGCATGTGTCTGCAAAAATGTGCGTATGACCCTGTTGCTCCTCAGCGATGCTGGTAGCCACAGTGACAGAACGGATTATGTCAGAAGAGAGGGTTTCATTCATATTCATAATCATATTCATGATTTTCCTTCTGAGAATGGTCATCTGGTAAAAAGGGCCTTAGTTAAAAACTCATTTTCAATGCAGGAAGACACCATACAACCTCACATTGCACCCAAACTCACACTGACTTAAAAGCTAGTGGGGACTTATTATACTTCTTATATATTTTGAATACCGTGAATACATTTTATATTGTCCCTCAGTGTAAGAAAGGAACAACTGGTAACATAACTGACTCCGTAAGGAAACACATAGAAGATGCCAGTCAATATGTTATTGACAATGTTATTTTAGCAATTTTGTACATTATACTTCTGGTCGTAATTTGATATGAAATTAACAGTGTCAGTAAAGAGTTTGCAGAGTTCGCCGACAATAAATATTTGATTTAATGTGTAAAAGTAAATATCACTTGTGTGTGTTTTGTTAAATTGCTAAGTTATGCTAAAACAATGCATATAATTAGAAGCGGCTCCTGACTATAAATTTAGGTAGAGCATATTCTGGGTCACAGAGCTAGATTACGGTCCCACTTTATATTAGGTGTCTTTCACTACTATACTTGCTGTTTGTTTGGTACAATGTACTTATTGTGTTCATGTTGTACTGCAAAGCATTTTACTGTTATTGAGGTGCAATAAGATTAAAGTTAGGGACAGGTTTAATGGTTTGGTTAGTTTAAGGGTGGGTTAAAGAGTAAATGTAGTGTGATTATGTAATCACAGAAACTAACTGCAGATGTAATTACTTGCAGGTATTTTAGAATGTGTGCCCAATGTAAAAACACGTACGCACACAATAAGTTCATTTTATCAAATGATTTATTTAAATGTCAGTGCATAGTAGTTTAAGACACTTCATATAAAGTGGGTCCGCTTAAGCTATATAATTAATACATAATTATGATTAACCACTTGTAAGCTGCACATATAGCTTTTGGGAATGCCTAGTGTGTTTGCGTAATTTAGCCTGAGGGTGGTGCTCTAATGTTGATTGGCAGGCTCCAAGTACACACACGTTATCTTAAAATTACTTTGTTGCATTTAATGTGTTTGAATGTTGATTTAGAATGCTGCGAGCTGAGGAGAAAATCAGGAGAAGAAAAGAAAGCCATGTCGATTCTCAAAATAAACACAACAGAAAGACTTGCAGGCTATACATATGAGCATGTTTAAACTAAAAGATTTATACTCCAACTAATTTGGTACACTGCTCCACACATCCCCCTGCACCTGTTAAAGATGAACAGATGTGTTCACAATGTGATTTATTTGTTGCTGAACTGATGCAGACTGATATACACACGTTGTTGATGTGGATGGATTGTTCCATAAGGTTTATGTAAGGTAATGTAAAAACAAGTGGGGCAAACAGATTTTTGTCCCTATTAATCTGAATTAGGGCGTACTGCATTTCCATTTTTCACCAGATTTACATTGGAAAAGTGTATATTTTTAAATCAACATTTGTTCACTTTGCCCACCATCAAGGATTTATTATTTCCAAAGAGCTTGGTGCAATGCATTGTGGGACTACACGCTCTACAGTGGACATTGTAGATGCCCCCCAATAAATGAATAAATAAATACAATTAATAAAATTAATTAATTAATTAATTAATTTTGAGTATTTTTGGAGAGTTAGCACAATTATTCCTACATTTTGGAATCCTACCTTAATTTGTCAAGAGCACAACTCCCTTCAAATGTTTATGGAGGCAGCTCATTAGGCTTTTGGAAAAGAGTGATTGTATTTTCTTTATGAGAATAGGACATTTTGGAAAAAGAGCTTTCATTTCATGGATGTCTTGTGGCCTGCCGGCACAAGTGCGAAAGTGCTGAAACTGTGGAGGCATTTCTCACCATTACTCTTCCTCGTCTCTTCCTTCGTGAGTTTCTGCTGTGCTGTGGCTTTTTGCACACTCAAGCCCTTTCCTGAGACCTCTTTCACTGATTCGCTGCTGATGACGGAACCATCCTCACTCGGCAACCTACTCCAAGTAACCATAGCAACAAGGAGCAGCGGTGAGTCGGTGCATGTGTGAAATGAGAGGATGGTTATGTCATTTTCTTTGTCTGCATCCTCATCTCTTACACATACAGTACATATAAATGCAAGGACACACAGTCAAACAGATACATATACTTTTACCAAAGCACTGTGGTGCTCAAACTAGAGTATTGATTGGTCTTGATTGTGAAGATTTTATAAGTTCATTCAGACATTCTTAATATCTAATACATTTAGTTTTGATATTTTAGTACTACAATAAAGCACATACAATTACATATTGTACAAAACATATTATGGAAATGCTATAGAGATAGAAAAAAAGATACATGCATTTTTGAATATATTGTATGCTATTATTGCTCTCAGATTCCCTCTTTGTTATTTATTATACACATATATATATATATATATATATATACACCCAGCACCCGGGCTCACCGCCATCCGGTGGCTTTCGGAAAACAGCAAATGGTGGGCAATATGCATTTAAAGTGGTAAATATAGGAGGAATATGTCAAAGTCATTTATATGTGCCAAACGTCCTGCTGCCAGCTGGTGGCGCTATAATTATAACTCAATGTTGGCATGTAGATGTATTCAGGCCAGGATCTTTATCAAACATGTGAAGTCTGGTGCAGATTGAACATGGTATGTTTGAGTTAGTGTAAAGCATGACATATCCTGTTGCCAACAGGTGGCGCTATGATCATAAATAAACATTGACGTGTAGATGTCTTCAGGCCAGTATTCTTACCAAACATGTGATGTTTGGTGCAGATCGGACATTGCATGTTTAAGTTAGTGTAAAAAAAGTAATTTCCTGTTGCCAGTAGGTGGCGCTATACTTATAACTGAATATTGGCCTTTAGATGTGTTCAGGCCAGGACTCTAATCAAACATGTGAAGTTTGAGGCAGATTGGACATTGTATGCATGAGTTACAACAACTTCATGTTTGATGGAGTTAATAGCATGCTTTAGCACTTAGCCAAGTGTTGCTAGCATCTTTGAGCATGTTTCTAACATGTTTAGCACACAATGGCATAATTTACTGTGTAGTTTTACAGTAGGTGGCGCTATGACTGTAACTGAATATTTGCATGTAGATGTGTTTGATGATAGGGCCAGGACTATCATCAACCATGTTAAGTTTCGGGCAGATTGGACACTGCATTCCTGAGTTACAGTAAATTCCTTTTTCACTGCATTAATAGCATGCTTTAGCACTTAGCTAAGTGTTGCTACCATTTGCCAAGTCTCTTATACAAACCAAAACTGAAATTATTTTATCAAAATACTGTAAAAACATCATATTGTGAAAATATAATATTACCCCAAACGTTTGAATGGTAGTATAAATGTATAACGGTTCCAACAAATATATTAATAAGCAAAAACTTAATTAGTTGATAATAACGTACTCGGTTACTAACGTAACCTCGGTTCCCTGAGATACGGAACGAGTACTTTAAGACGCTTGGGGAAAACTCTTTTTCTCCGATGACTGAAGCCTTTCAATAACGCAGTGTAACTGCATGGCCATTGGTTCGTGCAATGAATAAAAAAAATTAACCAATGGCTCGGCAGCGGAGCTGCATGAGCCTATGGCGGTAAAGCCCGCCAAAGCCTGCCTGGGAGGAAGAAAGCGGGAGGGAGCGAGGTTGCGGAGTCGCTCTCTGAAAAGAAAGATTTCTGCGAACGCAGAGAGGCGAGACTCATATCCTCACAATGAGAACATTCCATCTCAATGAGTGCTGCTTCAGCGTGGGCGGCACCCAAGCATGAAACACACTCACCGTGACCATCAACGGCGTGCAGGGGGGCCCTGCACGAACGACAGTAACGGCGCGGCATTTGAAACAACGCCGAAAATTTGCTCTTTGAAATTTGTTCTTTTATATCGCCGGATAGCGGCAGGGAACTGGAGACCGTCACTGCTGCAGTGCATGGCGGCGTGAAGCGGAGAGAATGGCCGAGCAGGAAGGGGTCTCTCAATCCGCTGTGAAGCTTGATCACGGCGAAGGCTTCGTAGTCTCGTAGAGCGAAGATCTAGTAGTCGTCGCCGAAGGAGAATAATCTGAGGATCCTATGGCGATGTGCCACTTATATAGCCAGAGGACCCCGCCCATTCTGGCGGGCTTTGGCGGGCTTTACCGCCATAGGTAAATTGGTTCCTTTTTTTATTCACTGCACGAACCAATGGCCGTGCAGTTACACTGCATTATTGAAAGGCTTCAGTCATCGGAGAAAAATGAGTTTTCCCCAAGCGTCTTAAACAGACGCAGTACGAGTGAAGTATCGATAGGGAACACATATTTCCTAAACACCAAATTTGCATATTAGAATTATTTCTGAAGGATCAAGTGACACTGAAAATTGGAGTAATGGCTGCTGAAAATTCACATTTGCATCATATGAATAAATTACATTTAGAATATAATCAAATCGAAAACTGTTCTTTTAAACAGTTCTATGCACCCTTGGTGAGCATAAACGACTTATTATATATTAATAAGAATAAGAAAAAAAAATCTTATTATATATTATCCAAATATTATCCAAACTTTTGATCAATAGTGTAGATTGTGATTTACATATCATTCAGCTGAACCTCAGTGAACAGAGGCAGGAAAATGAAAAATGCATTTCTCCAGAAATTATATCTCAACTTTTTCAGAGATAAATGGTTTAAATCAAGAACATATCCACTTATTAAGTCAAAGTGTCTGCTCTGAGAACACTTTGCCTGAAGCAAGATCCATTTATATCACACTTCTAAATGAAACTAACTGAAAGCTATAGTATGCTCATCCGACCATATGAAATTCATTAAAAGTCAGTCACCTTAACTATCAGACAATTTTTTTTAAGAGGCCAGTGATCTCATTAACAGTGTTAAGATCATACTGACATCCTGAGCACTGATTTTATTTTAAAAGCAATTACCAAACAAGTCTATATCCAACTATATCCATTATCTCCATTGTAATTAATTGAACAAATGCCTGAAACTTGGTATTACAAGCACTTCCTGTGTCTGTTTGCCTCTTTAAGAAGAATCGCTTTATGTATTCCCCAATTGTAAGTCGCTAAATCGCTTTATGTATTCCCCAAAGCGTCTGCAATTTAAACAGTTCTATGCACCCTTGGTGAGCATAAACGACTTCTTTAAAAAAAAATCTTATTATATATTATCCAAATATTATCCAAACTTTTGATCAATAGTGTAGATTGTGATTTACATATCATTCAGCTGAACCTCAGTGAACAGAGGCAGGAAAATGAAAAATGCATTTCTCCAGAAATTATATCTCAACTTTTTCAGAGATAAATGGTTTAAATCAAGAACATATCCACTTATTAAGTCAAAGTGTCTGCTCTGAGAACACTTTGCCTGAAGCAAGATCCATTTATATCACACTTCTAAATGAAACTAACTGAAAGCTATAGTATGCTCATCCGACCATATGAAATTCATTAAAAGTCAGTCACCTTAACTATCAGACAATTTTTTTTAAGAGGCCAGTGATCTCATTAACAGTGTTAAGATCATACTGACATCCTGAGCACTGATTTTATTTTAAAAGCAATTACCAAACAAGTCTATATCCAACTATATCCATTATCTCCATTGTAATTAATTGAACAAATGCCTGAAACTTGGTATTACAAGCACTTCCTGTGTCTGTTTGCCTCTTTAAGAAGAATCGCTTTATGTATTCCCCAATTGTAAGTCGCTAAATCGCTTTATGTATTCCCCAAAGCGTCTGCAAAACGACTAAATGTAAATGTAATCTCACCCTCTCTTGAACACTGTATAGCATCTACTCTAGCTTATGTCTTCCATGACAAGTAGTTTTGTGGGCCTGTGCCAAATAACAGCAAATGACAGCATTACAGTTAGGGCTGTGACATGAATACTGAGTATTTACAGCATGCCATAAGTGTCAGGTTTCTTCCCACATACCTTTTCCTTATCTCACTGTTCAGGCTTTTCTTGGAAGTGGATCCATCTTGGCGTGCAGGTTTATCTAGGGACAGAGGGGCATCTCGAATGGGGTGGGGCAGAACCATAGTCTCCTGGATAACCGGGAGGGTCTCCTCATCACCACCCTGCTGACCCAGGTGCTGCTTGGCATAGTCAAACCCCTGAACATGCTAAGCAATGAGCAAACATTCACATATTTGATTACAGACACAAAGGTTATTTTTATATACACCACGCTGTAAAATGGTAACATCTAAATTAACTGGTCAAAAATATTTAAATAAATGGGTTTTGTTTTGTTTTGTTTTACTACCAAAACAATTATCTGGTTGTGCATTCCTTTGGACAAATGTTTTGACTATATATTTCAGGCATATATTCAAAAAAAAAGTATACAGTATGTGTTGACAAAAACATGACTGCTCTATTAAAATAAAATTTGTTAGCATCTTGTGAACATTAATGGTTCAATAAATGCATCGCTAAAATGCATCGCTAAAAATAGGGTTTATGTGATACCATCAAAAGTATTCAATTTCATTTGAATAAAGAACTCATTTATATAACTGGAACAATCTGACTGCATTGGATTAGACCAAGGAAAGTTCAAGAGTTCAGATGTTAATATAATCCTCAGATCTAATGAAGGTAAACAGATTTAGCAATGGAGGGCCTTGAAGATGAGACTTTACTCAAATTCTGATTAATTAAGTAGTCTGGGGGGAATTTAGTGGATATTAATGAATTTATTTAAATATACAAATTAGAAATTAAGTCACATGAATGAGATAATGAGCTATTTAAATCCTTAAGATATGACTGACAGGAATAAATTAACACTCTTAATCCTTAATTTAGACTCTGATTTTTCATTTTTGGGGTCATGCCATATATAAATATCATCTAATATACAACAGCATTTCTAGACTAGTTATTTTACAATATGGCAACAATGCTACTATGTTCTGTTGCAAAGCAGTCCTGCAAAATGTATCGTATGTATCTGCAAAGTATCTGCAAAATGTAATGTATTCTCTTGTGACATTATCCAGCCAAAGTTGTATTGAGTCTCAGCAGCTTCTGGACAGCAATGCCAGGACAGCACTCTGGGGTTGATAGTTTACAGGGGAAGTTACATGTGTAGTAAGTGTTTACTTGTTTGCCACTTGACTAGATGTTTTCTGTTAATGTCATTGAAGCTTATTTTGCTCTCAGAACTATTTTACCCTTGCTAAAGTTATGTGCTGAGAATCTAAATACAGAAAAAATATAAAGGTCTATATTTTTTAATACACTTAAATGTCACAAATTCTAAACAATTACATCTCTTAATTTTACAACTAGTTGGAGATGATTAAAAAAAATCTATTTGTCAAATAATGTATAATAACAGAAACATAAATTCACTGAAAATAGACTATTTGGATAATCCACTGAAGAAAAAAAAAACCGGAACAAAATAGGTGGATGGCCATAGACAAAACAAGTAATATCTCGGTTAAGTTCGTTTTAGAATATCAAATCAATAAAGATATATTTATTTCAACATAAAAAAACGCCATGACAAGGTGTTGGTTCAAAAAGTGTCCAATAACCACTGCTGTCACTGGCTTTGATCTTAACCCATAACTGTAAGCCATCCTGAAACCAATGGCCTGGCACTGCTGTCCGGAAAACTAATGTGAAGAATGGCTGTGCAGCCCTGCAAATATATTCTAATAATAATTATAATACACTGCACATGTTTTGCAAATAGCAAATCCTCAGTTACTGTATAACTGAAGGCAAGGAGGCATTCTATAATGGTCAAGCAAAATTCAGGCAGTAGTTTGTCAGTCATAGCAAATGATAAACTAGGCCAGAGGGTGTATATGGGGAAAAAGCAGGTCAGATCATTATACCTAATAAATAAGACATATTTGACATTTTTAAATAAGTGCTGCTGTCTGCATTTCTTTTAGAGAGGAGGATAGATGTTTTATGATTTTACACAATTGATGTATTAAATGCATTTTTATAACAAAGAGGTTTCTGTCCCTTCCACAGTCCCGCTAGCCTACTTCCAACTAAATCATCAGAGAAATTCTGACCTTATTCCTAAAATATTCAGCTTGTTTAGGCATACAAGCACGCAAAGGAACACACACAAATACACACACATATACAATCAGGTCCTAATCTAGAAAAAAAATACTATTGACATAACAATGTTCATAGGAATAGTTCACACAAAATTTTGTTCAATTCAGTAAATATCATATCATATCATGTCATTCAGAATCTGTACGAATTTCTAAATGTTTTGTAGAATGTCAAGGCTGCTCTTTACCATACAATGAAAGCATGAAGTGTTCGTTTTGAAACTCTACATTCCTGTCTCCATTCTCTTTCATTGTATGGAAAAAGCAGCCAGCACACTTCACTGAACATCTCCTTTTATGTTCCACAAAATAAATATAGACATACATGTTTGGAATGACACACAGGTGAGTCAATGACGAAATAATTTGACTGTTTTGGGTGAACTAACCCTTTAATTGTGCACGATCATTAGTACTTTGTCCCTGAGACCTGTCTACTCTACACATCATCCTTAACACTGTGTGCACATCAGGAGTCCAGAGCAGCAGGTGAGATGATTGAAGAGCTGAATAACTACCTGAGGGTAATAACCCACGTCTCTCCAGTAAGCAGTCTAAATGAGAGAAAACAGCATGAAGATCATCAATCATTTCTATCTCGCTCTCATACACTCTCTCGGGATGTATTCCCAGAGGCAAAGCAAGCAAAGCATGTAAGAGTTTGAGAAAAACTGTTGATGAAGCCACTGTAAAATATGCTGAGTGTACAAAATAGCATGAGTTATAATGAGAGAGTTAACGAGCAAAGCGGTGCCTTATGGGAAATGGTCAAGCAGGATGTTTATCCAGTCACTGCCGTACCTTGACTCGAGGGTTGAAGTTTCCAATGGGATCGCTTTTGAAATCACTCTTGTTTTTATGACACAGCACCGTGGTGATGATGATGATGATGAGGGTCACCACGCCGATGGGTGCTAGCACTGCAGCGATGATCCACAGGTTGTTGGGTGGATTCTTCACTACAGCTGCATGGTGGGAAACACTGTTAATCTTTTACATATTAAACTATCATGCAAATTGTGTTGCTTAAATATTTTGACAAAAATATTTTGTTTGTACAACAATAATTGGTTTCACTTTATTTTGATGGTCCCTTTAACACATTCTGTTGACTATAAGTAACATTGCACCTACATATCTATTAACTCTCACTAGAGTGTTAGTAGTGTATTAGTAGACTGGTAGGGTTAGGGTTAGAATAAGTTGACATGTACTTGCAAAGTTACTTATAGTCAGTAGAATGTCTGTTGGGACACCATCACAATAAAGAGTTAGCGGATATTAAGCAGACAGTCTACTCTAATGAGAGTTAGTTGACATGTAGGTGCAAAGTTACTTAAAGTCAACAGAATGCTCAAAAGGGACCATCAAAATAAAATGTTACCCAATAATTTTGTAAGTGACTTTTTATAATCTAGGTTAAATAAATATCACAATCATTATTTTATTAGATTTTTTTAACATTAACAATGTAATTGATGTTTAATAAAAGCAAGAATATTTATCATCATTTATCTGTTTTAAGCAATTTTACATTTAATCAGTCTTCCCCCACCGTACAGATCGCCTTCCCCTCGGTAAATCGCATCCCGGGGGTTCCCCTCGGTACAAATCGCGATCGCGTTCCCCTTGGTAGAAATTGCGCTCCATCGTCGGGCCCTTACAATCATCCTAACCTTCCCCCCATTTACGGCGCCCCTGCACCTACATGTCAACTAACTCTCATTAGAGTGTTAGTAGACTGTCTGCTTAATATCTAACTCTTTATTGTGATGGTCTCCCAACAGACATTCTACTGACTATTAAGCCTTAATCTTAAAACTTAATGTAACCTTAACCCTACCACTCTACTAATATTTTACTAACACGCTAGTGAGAGTTAGTAAATACTGTATGTAGGTGCAACATTACTTATAGTCAACAGAATGTGTTAAAGCAAACATCAAAACAAAGTGAAACCAAAGATGTAGTATTTGAACAGAGTCATAAGCCAATAATAGTGTAATAGAGGCACATGAAATGTTCTGATTTAAATTAAGCTTTGCCAACAGTATACAATATGTATCATAATGCTGATCACCACAACAAATAATTTGATAACATTTTTGCATGTCTCAGTTGGAGAAAAAAGTATCCTTAGTTACATATCTATATTTTTGTAAGTGAATCTTTTGTAAATTAAGTAATTCTGCATACAGTAACATTCCTGTAAGTAAAATTTTGGTCCCACTTTATAATAGGTGTCTTTAACTACATGTACTTTATTTTACTTACAGTATGCAAAATAAATAAATAAATAACTGCTACCTATTGTTCATTTTGAATTGCAAATCACTTGTTGAAGTGCTATTTAAGTGGTGTACAGTTAAGGTTATCGACAGGTTTGGTGGTTTGGTTAGGCTTAAGGGTTGGTTAAGATGTAGGGGTACTGTAGACAGTGAAATTTAAGTGATGTAACTACATCAATTATTACAGATATAAATTCTGATTTTTTTTCAGTATTTCTAAATATAAGTACAACGTAAAAAATACAGGTATGTACACAATTGTGCATGGTATTAGATGATTAATTTAAATTAAGTACATAGTAGTTTAAGACACAAAACGAAGTGGGTCAAAAATGTATATAATTCTAGTAAGTAGAGAAGAAAGAGAAAGTAATTTTGACCTTCAGCCTGCAGTTGGACAAAGTATCCCAGCGTGAGCGCCATGGTCTGCGAGTCCACTGTGTTCAGAAGCTTGGCTGCAGATGTGCCAAGCAGTGGGGTCCCGTTTTGCTGGACGTAGTAGGTCATCTCAGCTGGGTTTTTTGGCCCATGTACACGCCTGATACTAACCATCTGAATACAATGAAACACAGCTTGATCACTTCCTGTAGGCACATTTTCATTTGGTAAACCTTAAAAGTTGAATATTTTCCATCAAATAACCTACAGGAGGGAGACTGGGGGGTGTGGTGACACTGTAAGATTAATTAATTAGAAATGAGCAACAGGGGTGAAATCACTATCATGCATGAACCCCTTCTGAGGTAACATAAGTAGTTGTAGAGCATAAGTTTCTGTGTGAAAATTTAAAGCAATTGTTGCTGGTTTATAATTGGATTTGTGCAGAAATTCAAGGAGAAATTATGTCCATGTTACACCCCACCCACTCCACCTACTGTTACAAAGTTGCATACAATACAATACAATACAATACAAATGTTGCATTAATTCTGGAAAACAGATTCACATAACCTAATTAATAAAGTAAGAAATTACTAAAGTTGGGTCCAATTAGGCTATGAGTCATTTCTTATGGCATGTGAATGTTTTCTAAAATTAATTCTATTTTACAGAATTATTTGTTCGTAATTACTTTGCTAAATTAGCACTTTCAATTCTATTAGGTCGTACCTGGACAGTGTAACTGCCCACTGTTGTTGCCCGCTTGAAGCGGACACCTTGCTGGTGAGCTACCATGAAGAGCTCAGCCAACCGCTCCTCCATCAGACTAGCAAAACTGTGGTACTGTCCTTCTAGAGAGGAGTTTTCCACATCCTGAATCACTGCAGAGACGTGGAGAGATGTTACAGTTTTTTCAACTGTTTACACACAAAATCTTTACTTGTCACACAATTTCTGAAACCTGACACTCAAACACCAGAACCACACACACCAAATCTGCAAATCCATACACTAATTCTCGACCTTTGACTCAGTTTTCAATTTCCGCTCCCCAGACTGTCTCGCTGGCTCACGAGAACCATCAGACTCGGCTATGCGATCCAGTTCGCCCGGCGTCCTCCCAAGTTCAGGGGCATTCGGTTCACCTCTGTGCCAAACAAGGATGCTCCCGTCTTGCGAGCGGAAATCGCAGTCCTGCTGGCGAAGGATGCAATAGAGCCGGTCCCTCCAGCCGATATGAAGTCGGGGTTTTACAGCCCCTACTTCATTGTACCCAAGAAAGGCGGTGGGTTACGACCAATCCTGGACCTGCGCGTTCTGAACCGAGCTCTTCACAGGCTCCCGTTCAGGATGTTAATGCAAAAACGTATTTTCCGATGCGTTCGTCCGCACGATTGGTTTGCAGCGATCGACCTGAAGGACGCGTACTTTTATGTTTCGATCCTCCCTCGACACAGGCCGTTTCTCTGCTTTGCGTTCGAGGGGCGAGCATATCAGCACAAGGTCCTCCCCTTCGGGCTGTCCCTGTCGCCTCGTGTCTTCACCACGTTCGTGGAGGCAGCCCTCGT